CTCAGTGTCAAGTAAGGGTTCATCTAATACATGACAGACAAATACTTCAAAAGTGTCCTCATGTTTTAAGTCTTTAATTAGGTGTAGGAGATGTTGGTCAGTTGTAATTAGGACCCATTTTTTATTCAATAAATCCTTCACATAAAAGCCTCCAACAGTTTCATACCCTAATTCTTTAGTATAATACAGTAGTTCCAAAATGGAAAAGTGGTCCTTAATAATATACCTGAGTGCAGACACATAGTTTCCAACATAAGTAGGGACAGATATCTCGGATAAGATTCCACCATGGTAAATCTTTGTAAATATAAGGCTCTCCTCCATGGTCAATTGTTAGCCCTACAAAATATCAAACAAACCCTAGCTTAAGATAACGGAATATACTCATATAACCCATACAACAACTAAAAAACAAAGTTTTAAAGCATATTTTCTGGGTAATAGTAAAGAAGGGACAGAATATTCGCAAAAATCACAAACCCTATTTTTTTACAAAACCCTAGCCTTTTGGAATTCATTTAACAAAGCATGTAAAAATCATTAACAATCCTAACTTACACAAGGAAATCTTCAAGATTGTAACACGAACAAGACGAATCCAACTTCAATCTGGAGGAAATCGCGAAGATGGAGAGCTTCAATTTGGAAAAAATCGCGAAGAAAGAGAGAGAGAAGTTTCTGTCAATTTTAACGATTTAGGAATCTTCCCCAATTAAGACATTTACAAATACACGTCGGATACACGTGGTAGTTGTTAAATGGTCATTCTATACACGTCGGATACACGTGGGGAGCTTAAATACACGCGCCACACAGTTTATGAAAAGTGATAAAAAAATGCTTAGATGGTTCAAATCTGGGGTGGTAGAGGTGTTCAATAGGTACTAGGTGTAGTTGAGGTGTCTAAATGAATAATGAGGGCAACTTTGAGGGGCTGCAGATGACTTTGGCATTTTTTTTCTTATATTATGAATTTTGGGTACACACAAAAGAAAAATATAGTATTTGTACATATTTACTTAACTAAGTCATCTTTTATTGACCTAATTAGATTTCTATATATATATGTCATCATTATTATTCTCTTTTTTTTCTCTTTTGTTTGTCATAAAAAAAATTAAAAAATTAAAATAGTGGATAAGATTCAAATAGAGAAAGAAAATGGAAGAGATAGGAAGTGAAGGGATGGGGGATTATAGAGAGTAATGCCTAACCTTTTTTTTTATTTTTAATATGCTATTGACATTCAAAATGAAGACAATCATGTGAGCTCATATATTAAGTAATTTCAAATAATTTTAACGGAAAGGAGTCTAAAATGTCCTTAAATTATGGGATTTGGCATGATATATGAGTATGATCCATTAGAGATTAAGGTATTTTTGAGCCAAAAGGTTGACGTCAAAGGTTTGGGGCCCAAATATTGATGAAGAGTGGTTTTATACCAATTTAAATAGTTGAGATGCATTTTAGGCCCTTTTCCATAAGTTGTAGCATCATCACTTTGTAAAATCATAGAAATATACTTCACTGAGTAAAGTCGTTTCCTTCTCTAGATTTTTTATTACTTGTCTCACCAATTTATTGCCTCGGCTTAACTTGTCCGTAGAAATCTCCAATATCGTTATCGCTGAAATAAAGTCAAGTAAAGTAATATGATAACACAAACACTATTTAAAAGAATACACTAATAATTAGAAATAATTAAGAATATGATTATAGAAATTCATTAAAAAATAAAATTTCTAATATATGATTTTTCATGTATAAGTAATTGGATTATATAAAGGCTATTCTGAGATGTAAATCAACTCTAATATCATACCTTTTAAATAATAATAATCACAATTTCTTAAAATATATTACGATCATAATTCATACGGTGTAATCTACCTCACTAAAATAAAAATAATCAATAAATTATATTAGTGCTACAAAAATATCACTCCATCATAAACAAAAATAACATTACTTTTAAATAATGAAATAATAAAATGTGATGATTTTGAGACCTGACAAAAACATGAATGTCACACCCCAACCCTAGGTGAGGCGGACAAGTACCATATGAACACATACTTTACAAGTCATCTATGATGACAAAGTAAACTACTACTATGCAAATATATTTACTAATGAGAATCTTCATATACAACAGATGTTGACTAGCTGAACCGATACATGTGACAAGTGAAACTATGAATTCAGATGATAGCTTTAAAATGTCTACAAAACCTCTACTTGAATCCAAGACTGTACCACTATGAAATACGCATAGTAAAGACTCGGTAAAACCCCGAATCAACCTGGAGCTTACCAACAACCACTGAGTATCATGTGCTTAATATTTATAAGACATATGATACAAATGACCAGTTGATCAGTGGTAGAAGAGGATGACCCATGCTAGGCATTTTAACCCCTGGGATGCTGTCCTTATAATTCCATAAATTGGGATCGGCTCATGCTAGGCTTTCACCCCTGAGCTGTAACCATTCTATACCAATTGGGATCGGCTCATGCTAGGTTTTTTCCCCTGAGCTTCCACTCTCTATACCAATTGGGATCAACCCATGGTAGGCATTTACCCCTGGGCTTCCACCCATAATTATACAAATTGCTTCACTTAGATTCTTTAATCTTTGAGATTGTTGTTTTGATGTTTATAACTCTTTTGAGATTATTCTTTAGATAATCATAACTCTTTTGAGATTGTTGTTTTGATGATCATTATCTATTTTGAAATTGTTGTTTTGGTGGTCATAATCGTTGTTGAGATTTCGAACTATGGATCGGTAATAGAAGCCATATGAATATGGACTTATGATAATAACAATGACATGAGAAGCAAATGTGACACCAAAGTAATACTTAGGAGCTTATATGACTCAGTGAGTATTTTGACATCTCAAATTAAACCACATCAAGTGAAGACATTCAACATTCATCCAAGAGATTTGAAATATATATGACAGTAAAATATCACTAACTAATATCAAATACAAGGTGCTCATGAACGTGGAACCAAGGGGGAACGTAGGCAGATTCAAGTTAAGAACGGATACATATTCAAAGTAAATAAATATTAAATGTACAATTGAGCTAATAGGGATCTTTTGAGGTAACATTATAGTCTAACACAATGGGAGTAATAACCAATAAAGGGAACATATGAACATTTGAAAAGATGACATATATGACGGAATAGACAATTGAAGCAAGTCGGCAAAATATGGGCAGATTGTATAACCAACATATAAATATATGTACCATGTGTAATCTAGGTTACGTGCATGCTAATACTTGGTAGAGTAAGCACATACATTTAGTAACAAACTAATATTAGAGTACTCACTTTAATGCTCTAGGGAGAATACGTATGACTTAAGCTCCTTCTCTTCAGATTACTAATCTACAATAAAATAAGTTGTAAGACTAGTATTAGTAGCTAATCAATCAATTTGAGCTACTTGATCTCACCCTAATAGTAACCAAGCAGTAAGCATGCAATTTATCTAGCTAGTGTTTTCTTTCCTTCCCTTTCCCTTTAATCGCGTCTATATATTGTACAACCTTCGTATCAAGTCCTCCCTAAAACTCCCTGCAATATTTAAGTCCTTTAACGTCTCCATAACTTTCCCGCACATCCAATCACATCCCTTATCATAACATACATAAAACAATCCTTAAACATAATAATGTAATAAAAGTAATATGAATCATGGTTTCTGATCACCAACACTTGAAGAGCTAACATTACTTTTAAAGTGCTCAAACAAGCTCATAACTGAATTTAAAGAGGACTCCCCTCCATGGCTGTCCCAACATGCACTAATCACCAGAACATCCACTCCAATATTACACCATGTAAAAGTAACAATTTCCAACTCACTAACACATACCAAGTGTCCTAATTTACTCAAGCACAAGAGGGAGAAAATTGAAGTAGTTTACCTTGCTGGACAGAACTACCATTTCCTAAGACTTGGATTCTTCAAGGTAAAGGTTGTCCTCCTTAACTTGTCTTAAATTATACCCTCCAATAGCTTGAACTCCCTAATGTTCAAGAACTCTAATGGTATTTAATGGTTGTTGTTGAAGCTAAGAGAGAAAAGAGAGAAAGCTCTAGAAATCAAATTTTTTGTCAAAGTAAAAATGGCTGGAAAAAGCTGTATCTATCCCTTTTAAAGGGACCTTCTTTGGCCGACTTTCTCACTCATTTTGGGCCATAATTTCTTTTTTTTCAAGTAGGTGACTCACCTACTTGGACTTTTCACTTGGGCCTTTT